GAGGAGTGATTATGTGGGGAAAACAGCCTTTTTTTTAAAGTGGACAGGTAGGGGAATACCCATTTTCTCTTTGGCTGGCACACTCTTAACGGCACTTGTAACTCTACAGCCTTGTTTAGTGATTTTAAATAAAGATGCTAGAGTTCATGTTTAGGTTAATGATGAAAATCCTCTCCTCACCATGCTTCTTCCTCCTGTGGCCCCCCCCTCCCTGACTTCCCACCACTGTAAATTCTGGTGCAGAGTGCCAGGAATAAGCAGACAGATGTCATGACTTAAAAAAAAAGGCTCACTTCCCAATGCTTATTAACTGGAGTTACTTTTTTTCAGTCTCTCTCTTCAGTGGATAATTACTATGTGCCTCCTCTCTGCTGGGTACGGTGCTAAGGGTCAATGGCCCCCAAGATGAAGGATGCTCTCTCCTCAAGGAGGCCTCAGTTACTGGGCTGGACGAGCCTGTAAACTAGGTGGGCAGGGGTTGTGACAGCCACAGCAGAAGGATGAGCTGGTGTGAGCAGAGGGGAACGGAAGAGTGACATGGTACAGATTCCATGCCGTTCCAGACAAATGAGTTCATTAAGACCAGAAAAAGTCTTAGAAAAGCAGCAGAGTAGAAGTGGAAGAATACGGGTGTCAGAATCAGCAACGCGAGGATCGGTCCCAGCTCCGGCCACTCTCTCTTCCTGGCAGTCGCAGTCCTACTGAGCCCGTTTCTCCGTGTCCTCAGATGTGCCCTGCAGGCTGTGAGGAGGGGGTGAGTTCCCACCCGGGAGAGCACCCGGCACGGAGCCCCGCAAGCTCTCAGCACACACCGTGGCCTTCAACTGGAGTTCATTTAACAGACGCACGAAATTGTTGACCTCTTTTTAAAAATCACAGGAAACCAGTACAAAACCAAAAACCCAGTCTCAACTACAAGATTCGCCGCATGATAACTACTGTGTGTGTCCCCTGACAAACACTTTGGGGGCAGGCACCCCGTTTACCTGTGTACCCACCAGCGCTCAGCACAGAAAGCGCATCCGTTAGCAGATACCCAATGAGTGTCCCTGGAATGGACACATAAGCTGCTTAAAGATGGACAGTCTGATGCCTTCCGGTTGATTCCCTGTCTGAGTTCAGGCTTAATCCACGGCACTTTCCTTGTGGGAGTGTCTACTCGAATGGGATGTGCCTGCATCCTGGGAGTGACTGGAGGGGTGATGTGGATGGTGGCCCAGCAGTCACCACAATCCTGCTTAATCTGCATTTCTTTAACAGTTGAGGAGGTTAAAAGGACTAATTAGGAAGATAATTAGCGATAATTAATTAGGACCAATAATCCTGACTTAAATAAAGAGGGGTTCAGTATCGCTGTAAGTTAACTGAGTCCCTCGTTCCTAGCACAGTGCCTGATACACAGCTTAGTGCTTGCTTGTTAAATATTTGCTAAATCAATGGAAGACTGCATAAAGCGTGAGTCTGAACCTAAATCCGAGAACTTTAAGATGTTTCTTATCAAGTCTCTTTTTTGGCACAGTGAAGAAACACTGGACTCTTCCATGTACTAGGGATCGGCTGCGTGAGGGCTTCAGTCAAGAGAATTATTCCAGGGAGAGAAGACGCCTCACAGCCTCTGACAACAGTCGCACACATTTTACAAAGCACGCTGCCTGCTGAGAGCCGACCCAGAGACCCAGAGACCGGCAGGCAGGCCGGCTTTACAGCTGAAGCTCAGCCACGCCTCGCACGGAGTGCCCCGCTTCTCCTTTTTCTTGATCCCGCATTCCTTTCATGCGCCGGAAGCTTTCTAATCATTTACATGTTTCAATATTGTTTTCTTCTTTTTCAGTTTATCTATCTCCCGATTATTGCTGTATTCCAAGTTTCCTGTAAAAAACTTGCCAAGTAAGAAAAAGTACTAAGAAGTAAGGAGAAACAAGACGTTGTAAAGCCACGACCCAGAGGCAACTGCTGACGATATTCTGGCATATTTTCTTCTAACCGTTTATTAAGCACTTACTTCCTTCTGTTGCTGAGACGTTCGATGTCCACGTAGGTATGTATGTATATTTTTGCACACACACACACAATAGTAAAGCCTGCCTTTTGTGTAAAAGAGCACATCCTGAGACCATTAAAAACTCCGCCTAAATATTCTAATACTG